CTACAAACTTCCTCACTCAGCCATAAAGGTCACTGGGGGTCCTCTGGTTGATGCAATATCCTGTTAACTGATATAACCTCTTTACTTCAAAATAAAAGTCAAATGGTACGATTGTGCCACACTGACAGTTTACTGATTGCTTGACTAAAGTTTTTCAGTTATTTTAAAGGGCTTTAAAATAATTTGTGTTTGTAAAATGTTGTTTATTATTATTATTTATTTACAGAATCATGCCATGGTATTTTACTTTAATTTATCAAAGGTTTTTAATTAATATTTATTGTTTTAATGTACTTATATTGTATTCACACTAAATAGGTTTTATATAATAAAATATGTGTCAACAATGTATTAAATGATTGACCCATATGTGTATATGAGTGAATCTGTGTGTCTGATATCTGAGTGTAGTCCAGAGGTTTGTTGTTTTTGTCTTTTTACCAACTAGACAAAGAAATCACTATGAACAGAATTAAGTTTCACTTTTAGTTCTGTGATTTCCTCGTCGCTCTCTCTTGTTTCCTCTTTCTTCTTCTTTGTGTGTTGAGAGAGCAGACAGAGAGTCTGACTGACAGCAGAGTCAGTGATGAAGAAACAAAATTAAAATGTAAATCTGGATGCAAATATGCAATAGATGAATAGATGGCCATTCAAAGGTTTTAATCATAATGACGATGTGCTAGAACAGGTCACAAGACTCATTTTAGTTGTGGTATCATAAATTAATGTGTTAAAACTCTTCATTCAAGATTCAAGAGGTTTATTATCATATGTACAGTATAAACACAAGGTTAGTACGCACAATGAAAATCTTACTTTGTCCGACTCCCTGAGGTAACACACATGTAAAACAGTAGGAATATAAACTTATATTTTATGTTTAATATAAAATATAACTAAAAATATTACATAACTTACAACTTAAAGTGCAGAACATTGCACAGTAAACAAAGAAAGAAACCTTACACTTCAGGTGCTGAGTGACATTACATCATGTTATCATACTGATTAATAATGTTTTTATCTTCCAGGTCCAGTGGTTGTCAAAGTGGAACCAGGCAGTGATGTTATTCTACCCTGTTCCCTCAGCCCTCAGAAGAGCATTACGTCTGAGCACTTTGAGTGGAAGAAAGATGGTCAGAAGAAGGTGTTCGAGTATGATGGAGGCGATCATTCCAATACCATCCTTACAGATCAAGATGAGCAGTTCAGACGTCGAGTCTCACATTTTTCTGATCAACTGAAGAACGGTAACGCCTCCATAATGATCATAAATACGCAGCTGAATGACACTGGAAACTACACCTGTGATTTTCCAGATCTTCAACCAAGACAAACCTTCTACATAAAGCTTGTTTTTGGTGGTGAGTACTTTCATTAAACAGTTAAAGATGTTGTTCATTTACTCATGAGACTGGTTTGAGAGTCTCTGATGGACTTTTGTCAAGTAGTCAGAATCCACATCTGGCAGAGCCTCGTCCCCACAGCGCTGCAGCCACATCTGGACTGATTACCTCTGTATCAAACATGATATTAGTGACGCATTGATCATTATGTCTCTGTACAATGAAATCTCAGCAGTCTGAAATCAGTGTGCACTCTCAGGTTTTTATTACCTCTCTGCTTTCCAAACCCTCTGACATAATTCTGTTTTGCCTTTTAGATGGTGACTTAACCTCTTAGATATCATTTTATTGATGTGCATTTCAGTCTCTCAGTATCTACCAGTTTTAAACTGTTTATTACCACACACATGAGGAACTGATACATGTTCATTTAATCACAGTAAAGCAAACACTCTGAGGTTTCATCAGGTGTGTTAATCTTACTGAAGGCTCTGAGAGAGTTAAATTGTTTAATGACGAAACAGAAACAAATAGAAGTTTTCTTGTTTTTGTTTTCATTTGACTTTTGTTTAAAATCCAGTAAATAAGACATAATACAGACTATCAGGCTGAAGTTCTCAGGATCTCTCCCTCAACTTGTCTATAATGTCTGTAGAAACTTTGATGTTGACAGACAGAAGTGGCTCTGAGATATTTTAGAAAGTGCAGTACAGATTATCTCCAGCAGGTGTCCACAGAGCTCTCTAAAACTTCTCCAAAGTTCCCAAATGATGACAATAAATCCCTTTAACCTCACTCTGACCCTGAATAAATGTCACTAAGAGTTTAATTGAACTATAAAAATCTGTTTTTAATATTTAAATAAAGATGTACATATTAATTATCACTGAATAATGTCTGTGTAAACAGATAAATAAAGTTTCTGTGTTCTGTGGGAGTCCCACTACCACAGGAAGTCCGGCAACGTTAACTTCCATATATGGTCAGACAGGTAATTTCAGTGGCTACAAACTCAGCGTGTTTTCACGGTGCTGACTTACCATTGGATGAAAGTATCTGTCAATCAGACACAGGTGGAGCTCCTGTGAAGATGCTCTCCTGTGATTGGCTGATGGAGTTAAAGGTCTGTTAGTTTGCTCACTTTAGGTCGTAGAAAGATGCTGATTGGTTTGTTTTGTTGCTGGGCGTTTACTGATTTCAGAGAGACTGAACATCATTGGTCCAATCTTTAATTAACAACTTAATATTGACAGAAATGACGTAGTTTTAAAGTTTGATGAGCGGCGCTAAAATGAACCGAGAGACACAATCGACTTTTATTCTCCTTATTTTTTACTTCCGCTTGAAGTGAAACGAGTTGGATTTAATCGGTGGACTTTAGTTCTTTAAAACGAGCTCCTGTTCGTCTCCAAATGTCTGTTTTTGGACCCATAAATACATTTGAACTGCAGCTAGACAGGATAGCTAGTAAGTTGCTAATGAGTTTACTGCCATAAAGTAATACAGTGCTGTTGTAATGTCGTAAATCTTATATTGAGCTTCTTAAATCCGTGTAAAAACGAACATGTAAGCTTTCAAACGAGCTCCAATATGAGTACATTAACGTCCACAGTCAGCATTCAAATATGAAATAGATTGATTTATTATTGCTCCATAGAAATGTCGGGTCGCGTGCAACCTCCCGCTGTAAAACATTAAGAAACAGATACCCTGGGGTCAAAGGTGAGTCCTGATTCAACTCTACATCTGAAACTACTCATCACTTCTAAAAACTGGAAGCATTTATTGTTTATTATCATTATGTTTGTGTTAATATATATATATCTATAGGTTTACACTGTACTTTTATGTGAGTGAGTATATATATTCACACTGCAAGCCTTAGTGCTCAATTCTGATTCATTGGTTACATCACATTAATAAACCTGAATTTGAGATTTGAGCAGCACGAAAATGTTGAGCAGAAATTTCTCACTGATTCAATTTATGAAAGGAGGTGTGTTTGATGCAGACAAAAGAACAATTGAAACCAATTGAATGATGAGTTTTCTGTTCTGGCAGCATGAGACTGTTGATCAAAGACACTCAGTGGCCCATTTATTAGCTCCACCTGTACAATCTATTAAGTAGATTAGATTCAACTTTCACATCACATTGTCATTGCACAGAGTACAAGTACTGAGACAACACAATGCAGCTGAGCTTCTAAGCAGAAGTACAAACAGCAGTTGAGTGCAGAGTGTGTCCATATGTACAGGGCTAATAAATAGAATAAACAGTAAGGGCTAGATATGAATCCACTGAGATATATACAGTATGAACATGTGCAGCAGTACAGTAGGCACAATATATAGTGCTGTATAAGTGGAAGACATTATATCCACAATAAACAGCTCTGATATGAATATGGTGGATACACTATAGATGATATATACAGTATGGACTGTAGTATAAATATGTAGATATTATAATTCAATACAACAGCTCTGCCATAAATTCCACCTTTCCAAAGTTTGTAATGTTCACTTTTTGTTGACTTTGTGAGAAATGTGTAAATGAAACTATATGTTTGTTACTGAGCTCATATTAAAGGTGCTGTTGTACTGGACTACATTATACTGAGAGCTGTTTCTATTTTATTGTCCTCCCTGTTTACACACATGAGAGAGACAGAATATTAGAATCCCCTCTGAATATAATGCAGTCCAGTACAACAGCACCACTAACTATGAGCTCAGTGATAACACATATGATTGAATGAACAGCTCTCTGACAGTGTAGAAACAAAGTGAACATTATAGACATCAATAAAGGAACTTAATGACACAACAGTTGTATTGATTGCATTAGATTGTACAGGTGTACCTAATAAAGTGACCACTGAGTGTTTGTGTCACTGACACAATGAAACCCTGATAACACAAGGGCTGCACATGCTTTTAACACCCTATGTTTCAGATTTATAACACATTTTATATTAATGTAGTGTGATAGAAAATATTGTCCACATATCAGACAACAGATTTAATGTGATATCATTTCAGGATAATGTATATTTGCTGTATATGTCATGATGTGAGTCAGAAATAGTGTTTCATTATCTTTTGGTAGAAGTATGATCCCCTTTCATATAATGTTGGGATGTCTAATTAAAGGAGCAGTGTTTAGGATTTAGTAGCATCTGGTGGTGTATTTGCAGATAGCAAGCATTACATTCCTTCCAAGTGTGGAGGAGAAACTACAGCCAGTATTTGGTTTGACTGTTAGAGGCTACTGTAGAAACATGGCCACCTCATGCTTTTAACACACTATGTTTCAGATTTATAACACATTTTATATTAATGTAGTGGGATAGAAAATACTGTCGATCTATCAGACAACAGATTTAATGTGATATAATTTCAAGATAATCTTCACTGTGTATTTACTACTGTCTTCTGTATGATGTAAGTCAGAAATACTGTGTGCAGTTGTAAATAGTTCACAAACTTTTGGTGGGAAGTTAGAAATGTGGACATATTATGTTCTTTAATATTATCTTTTTTTCCTTCTATATTATGTTCACAGGTGCAGCTCCAGAGCCGTATGTTACAACAGTTAAAGCAAAGGATGGGGCCCTGCTGCAGTGTGTTGTTCGAGGTGTTTCTCCACAACCTAAAGTAGAGTGGAAGGACAGTGCTGGAAACATCCTTCCTGCTAAAGAACCACAGGTCACAGAAAGAGGAGGAAGCTACGACGTCATCCTACAAGCTCCTTTGACCAAGACTGACCACTTCACCTGTGTAGTTACACAGGAGGACATCAACCATCAGATTTCTGCTGACATATATGTTGGGCCTTTTAATGGTGAGAGAGAGAGATAGATAGATAGATAGATAGATAGATAGATAGATAGATAGATAGATAGATAGATAGATAGATAGATAGACAGAAACTTGTCATTAGTAGCATTGTGTTGCAGTGAGGGTCCCAGATGACAAACATGTTGGTAGAAATGTAGCTTCATTGACTGCAGCAGAGTGTTGGTTGATTCCAAGCAGAACTAACTTCAAATCCAGCATCAGGTTTTGAGTTGAAGTGAAAATGGAGATGAAAACAAGAGTGAAAGTGTCACAATGTGATTTGTAAATGTGAGCAGGAATCCTCCTCCTCTGTCTGAGTGTGAAAGCAGGAGTTCACTAATGTTCACCTCTTCCCACATTTACTAACATTTGGCTTGTGCTTTGTATTAAATGTGACTGTGTGCAGCTCACTGAAGCATGTGGGCTGATTCAACCAATCACAGCTGATGTATGATTGAAGGCTTTATCATTGAATCTATGACATTAATGACATTAACTCTCTGTCATCTGTTTCAGACTCCACTGGATTGGTTGTTGGTGTGTCCGTTCCCATTATTCTTTTGGTTGTTGGTGTTGTTCTAGTTCAAACTCAGTTGTAAGAGAGGTAAGTTTAAATAATGTCTTTTCATCAACATAGTCATGATGAGCAGACAACACAACACATTCTTGATATATATCTCACGTTTAGAGTCTTAACAGTTGTTCATTCTGTTGATATTTACACTCAGATTAGGATGATGTCATTTTGGATTTCCTTTAATATAACTTTATTTTGCTTCCTGCAGACAAGGAGAACAGAGACACCCTCTGAATGTCTCCAATTCATCAACACCATTCAGGGAATCTGATCCAGAATCGTAACTATCTCTCCATGTGCTGTGCAGTTGTCTGCTCCAGTGTGTGTGTGCTGTAGCAGTTAAACTTTGTGAGAATCACTTTGAGTTTTAGACCATACTGTATGATAGTGAGGACATTTTGGCTGCTCCTCACTTTAATGGTTAAGACCTGGTTTTAAGGTTAAAGTTACATTAGTTTCAGGTTCATTCTGTTAATGAGAATTGAATGAATAGTTTGTGTTGAACTCTGATATTTGCTGTGATTGAGTTCCACTCTTGTGCAGCTTTAAGAGAACAAATATTGACTAAACACACTTTTACTCTGTTATTAATGTGGTTGAGGACAAAGATGACTTCTTGCACTCTGTTCTGTTGCTTTTATTCTTTTCTTTTTTAGATGAATTTCATTCCAGGCAGCATAATGTAAAGTCCTAATCAAACTGCCCACTGGGAACATCATACAGTTATACATATACACAGTCATACACCCCTTGACAAATTACACCCTGAGTGAGCACCTTTATTTAGGGGCTAGTAAGTCGGTGGAATCAGCAACAATAAAACACAGTGCCCCGCTGGTGCTGAGTCAGCGCTTTCTCTGCCCTGACTCAGCACACAGACGGTTCCTAAGTCTGACTTTTTTGCCACACAAACTTTATTCAGAATATTCAACTAAACACCCGAAATGCACATTCAGTCTGGCAGATTGGGCCGAAGGTGGACCCCTAGAGAAGACACAGACCAGAATGACCAGAAACAAACAGTATTTAAGTAAAATATCTTCTGTAGAATCTTAAGTGAATATTAATATTAATATTTGCAGAAAAAATTAAATGTAGAAAATAATGCATCTTCATTATTGAAAAAGCAAAGGTGTGTGTGTGTGTGTGTGTGTGTGTGTGTGTGTGTGTGTGTGTGTGTGTGTGTGTGTGTGTGTGTGTATGTGTGTGTGTGTGCACTGTACAGTGTAGGGTTATTTGAATATAAGATAGCTCAACAACGTACAGCTTCCTTAATGACTCTGAGCATCAACAGATTGAATACGTATGTTAAGCTTTTATTTGGATGAACTCTGAATGTTACTTTTAATGTTTTTGTTTTTTGTTTTTTGATTTGTTCTGTTTCATCCTGTCATTATGCATCTCATTAGTATTTCCCTCTCTCTCTCACGTTGTTGCTGATGCTGTTACATTATAGCACATTAATGAATGGAATGAAGCGACAAACACAACTCAACCAAACAAGGAAATTATAAGAGAACAAACATTTATTTTAAAGATTATATTGACTGTATTAAATCCAAATGTTTAGTTCTAAAAGTTCAGGGACTGAAGCCAAAAAAAGGAAAGTACTCTAAAATAATCAGGTGACCTGTTAGAACAGCAGATCTATTATGAGAGGAGAGGAGATGGAAACACATGACTTCTGTCAGATCTGAGACTGTTAAATACATGAATGTAGATCAGATTGAAGGAATCCTTTGTCACTGGGATGTTAAAGAGAAGATGGAGATAATCTCACTTGTTTCAGTTCTTGAAAAAGGTCCATATTGTATTAATATGTTACGTCCATTTTATTGCTTGAGTGTGAATCATTTTTAAATATGTGTAAAATTAGATTTTTACTGCAGTTAACTTAGAATAGGGTTTTTCACTGCTTTGTTTTCATTATGATGCCAAACAGGAGTCTTCTGGAGGCTGTTTACACCTGCTGTATATTCAGACAAACACTATAGAGCAGTATCTTACTCACAATGGAACCTCTCACTGTCCATCATTACTCTCCTTTGTTCCAGTTCAGTGTTACACTAACCTCTAGTTACTTTAACCTGCTCTGTCAGCAGCCCTGCAGGAGAGAGACGCTGGGACGCTCTGGAGGTTTCTAACTTTATGAGACACACACTTTTACTTTCTCTCAGCGTGTGGAAATCTGATGATTTACATCACAGATGACCAAGAAAGTCATTAATGCCAGAAGGGATGACACAATAGATGTTTTGGAGTTAACAGCAGTATCAGTGAAATTCCACGATTCTTGATCCCAATTAGATACCGCTGTAAAAAACTAAACAATAAATATCATATACTTAAATATATACTATTAATAATATATACTAAAATATTCTATAACATTTGAACATAACGAAAAACAACAGAAAGAAAGAAATAACTTAATGTGTAACGTTACCTGAATTTAACAATCTGTTGTAGATAGTGTTTCATAAAGTTTCTAAAGTTTCCCCTCACTCAGTAACTCAAAATCGTAAGATATTTAAAAAAAATGTATTAAATAATTTATCTAGAGATAATGAGGTTACTAGTTCAGTGGTCAAATCAGATGAAACAGGCAGCGTGTTCACAAACATCTGCAGCTCATCAGCGGAGGTAAAAGAGCCCTAGCACATAGTTTCATTACAGTGAACTAAACAGAAGTGTGGTGTACTTAGAGGATGTCAGTTTCAGTGTGACCCAGGATGTATTAGAGATCATAAGATATGTGGTCAGAAAGTGAAGGAAAGTGGTTTGTGTGATCGGATTAAGTCACATGTTAATACCAGGTGTAAACAGGCTCATAGAGACACTGTGTGATTCTTCTTCCTATTGCAATAGTGTGCAGTGTAAATACCGTATTTTATTTTATTAAGAGTTGTCAGCCTTCTTCTGTGCTGCTTCAATGTGCCTTGTTGTTTGTTCACTAATATATTCTGACTGAATGTGTATTATTGATGCTGACTGTCATTACACATAGTGAGGATACACACTGTGTTATAGAAGATTGTTTGTGTTTGAAATAATGATGTCACTGAGTTTCCTTGTTGATGAGATATTCTTCCAATCAGTGAGTTAATGTTGTTAAGTTGTCTTTTCTTCCTCATGTGGTTCTTTGTTATTGGAGCAGCTAGTTAGCTGGTGACGTAGCGACAGCACACTGCTACAAACACTACATCTGTCTACCATCACTTCCTGTTGCTACTGTGGACATTAAAGTGTCCTAAATAATAATGAGACATTACAATCATCATGTTTAAACTTTTGTCTCCAATCGTTTGAATAAAACAAACTTTCCTGATGGATGACTGGATGCTTTTATTTTGAAGGAAATCAGAGTGGTTATTGATCTGCTGCAGCAGCTGTTTTTGATACTTAAAGTCTTACTAAAGACTCTTTGAACACAAACCAACTGGATTTAACATTTATTTAAATAAAACACAGCAACCCAATAAAATCAAGTTCTATAAAGTCATTTTATATTTATATTGTGAGTAATAGAGTTAAAAAGAGTGATTTCTAAAGCTGAACAACAGCTGCTACAGAGGTCCTGGTTAGTTTTAAAGAATACTGAATATTTCTGTATAGTTATTTTATTGGCTGTCTTTGGCTCACATTTCCCTGAAACTTCCCCTTTTTTAAATCAAATAGTGGAGACACTACTGCTTTTGTCCACAGGGGGCGCCAGAATCAACACAATGAAAGTTCATCATAGAAATAAAACTGTTAAAGAGTCCTCCAATCACCTGATTCAAAGATAAACAACAATAATAATTTGTTGAACTCCTGTATCACTGAATATGAAGCCTCTGTCAGCCTTGGTGAGTAACTTTATTTAATAACCTGAATAAAGTTGATGTTTATGTGGACTGTGGTTGAGAACCACTTCCTGCTCATTCTCACTGTGTTCATATGAGACAGCTGCATGAATAAGAAGTTATTGTACATTGGACCCTTTGGTACTCGGATACTTTAAGTAAAAGTACACAACTCTGTAAAAAAAGCTCCATTACAAGTAAAAATACTGCATTCAAAGTAAAACTACAGAAGTATTATCAGCTAAAAGTAATGAAAGTATCAAAAGTAAACAGGATGGCACAGCTACTTCAGTAAACTGATCTAAAGATGTAAATGAAGGCAGGCTGAATCCCATCTGAGTCAATAAAACATTATTGTTTAATGTTTGTCATTAATCATGAATCCACAACACAGCAGTTTGTTTAGTGAGTAGGAAAAAAACGTGAGTATTTACATCTACCGTCATACACGTCACAGTTTATACCCATGCTAACACAATAAAGACTTTTATATACAAGAAATACTTATTAGCATCATTGTACAAAGAATACCATCATAGTAACTCACTATCTGGATTTGTCATTGATGCAAAATACACAAAA